CCAATCAACCTCTCTGTATCTGTAAAAGCGACGTAGCTTGGTGTGGTCCTGTTACCCTGGTCATTGGCAATGATTTCCACCTTCCCATGTTGGAATACACCAACACAGGAATAGGTGGTTCCGAGATCGATACCAACAGCTGGTCCCTTCGACATCTTGTCTGGAAAAAAAAAAAAAAAAAAAAAATCGAAGCATAAATTCAGTTGCTCATTGCTCTTAGCGTAATAAACTAAAACCATAGAGTCCCTCAGAAAAATCAACGATGTGTAGCTCGCTGCTATGCTCCACTTCGCCGCTAGTCGCTCCCTAGCGCACAGGCCCAACGCAGGCAGCCCCAGGTTCTGCGCGGGCGCCATGCGGCTCAGCGCACGTGGCCATGGACTCCATTTCCCAGCATGCCCCGTGGCGGTCACGTGGTCGTAGCGGCCATCTTGGCCGCGGGGCAACGGACCCACCGCCTCTCGTGGGCTGAGCTTGGCAGCCGCGGGACCTGGCACAGCCCCAGCCTCCTCCGAAACAGCACAAAGTGCAAGCACGGTCCCCTGCCCCACAGCTCTGCAGAATCGGTCCCTCTTCCCCCCCCTCCCACGATACAGTTCTCTGATCTCCTGCCATTCCCCCAGGCAAAAAGCAGTGGAGCGGAGAGCAGCCGCCACTAAACGCAACGGACAAAAGCGAGAAGCCAGGTGAACGGAACTCTGGAGCACCGTTAACCCCAAGCAGACACTGAAAGCAGCCACCAGTGCGGTAACAGCTCTCCCTTTCCAACTCCCCAGACCACTCAACTCCCCAAACCCCTCTCTCCTCCTTCCCCACCATGTCTGTCCATGGGCTCCCTAAGATGCCCCCCCCTCCTCCCAGTAGGCCCCACTACCTGAGCGGCGCGGGCAGCGGCAGACGCGCACAAAGACTGCTGCTGGTAGAGTGCTGCTGAATGAGAGCGGTCGGCTCCCGCCCCGGCGCCTTTATATATCCCTTCAGAACCTTCCAGAAGCGCCCGCCCCTTCTCTCGTCTCCAGCCAATCCGTTCGCTCCTTCCTCAGCCCTTCCAGCCAATGGCAGGCTACCGGAACACGCACCGTCAGTGGCGTAGCGGAAAGGGGGCGTGGCCGCCGGCCGGCCGGTATTCTCGAACCTTCATGCGCTTTCCCCTTCGTCCCCCCCTCAACCGCTCGGCTCGGCCCCCACCCGCAACGGAAGAGGGCGGAGCTTCCTGCGGGCGGCAGCCAATGAGAGCCTCTTAACGGCAGCATGCGGATGACGACAACGCCTAGCGTGGGCTGGTGGAGCGGGAGGGGGCAGAGCGAGCGCGCGGGGGAGCAAGTGGTAGCCAATGGCTGCAAAGTACCGCTGGATCGTTTGCATATTTTGCGCGCGAGGGCAGGAGCCTTGCAGTGCGGACGTCCAATGGGATCGCGGAGCCGGCAGCTCGTTTGCAGGGCGCGCGGCTTGCTGCGTGTGGAGGGGAAGGCAAAATGGCGGCGGCAGGCTGGGGGGGGGGGTCGCGGTCCCGAGCACAGAAGGCGGAGTTTGGGGGAAAACAGCCTCAAGCCTGTGCAGTGCCGTGCCCGGCTTTATTCTGGGTGAACGTAATGAGCCCGCGGGCTGCAAATCCACGGAGCACACCTGAGATCCTGCAGGGAAAGGGAGGGAAGGAGCGCAGCACTCGGCCGTGCCGTCAGCTTGTAGCTGGGGATGGATTTAGGAGCACAAAGGCTGTGCTTGTAAAGATAAGTGGCACGAATCGCCCTCCCCATGTTGAGCGGGGCTGCGATGCAACAGCCGCTCCACCCAGAGCAGATCGCTGCTGAGCTCCTCTGCCCCCTCGCAGGGGCTGCATGGGCAGCTCTGTGGTTTTCCTTTTTTCTAAAGCACGAGCAGAACTTCAGTAGGACCTAAGAATAGCCCTGCTGGCACTTGGGAATTAAACAACGGCATTCCTATACGCAACCGTGCTTTGCACAATGGGTGCACGGCAGGGGAAGGCAGCCCGGAGCAGCGGTGAGTCAGTGCAGGGAGGAGAGCTCCGGCCAATGAGTCACTGCGTTAGAAATTAAAGGTTGTTAGCAGCCTGAAATAGCCCACAGTACAGTGCAGAAAGCAAGGCCCTGCAGTCTGGATGCGTTGGAACAGGTTGCCCAAGGAGGCTGTGGATGCCCCATCCCTGGAGGCATTCAACGCCAGGCTGGATGTGGCTCTGAGCAGCTTGGTCTGGTGGTTGGTGACCCTGCACACAGCAGAGGGTTGGAACTGGATGAGCATTGTGGCCCTTTTCAACCCAGGCCATTCTATGATTCTATGATGATGTTTTCCCTCCCCAAGTGATGAACCCCAAAGTTACTTTCTGAAGCCAGTTTGGTTTGTTGCAGCTCGAGAGAAGTGGGCAGTGGGGACTGTCAGAAACTCGCTTCCTATTGGTGATAATGGCAGTTTTTACTTCACATTTGCACTTCCTGAAGTTTGAAAATGACGCATTTCTAATGCAGCCCTTCCTTTTCCCCCCTGTGCAGCGGTACAAAGTGATCTTGCTTAAAAATAAAATAAAAATAACCCCAGATTCCTGATACTGAACAAAAGGAGGCAGTCACACAACTCCAAACTGTCAGCAGGATTTGGGACGTCATCAACTCAAGAGCAAGCAGCAGAATGGCCGTTCCCCATTGATCAGGGACAGACAGAAAGACACACCTATGAGACCACTGCTGTCATGAGGGTTTAAATACTGCCTAATTATGTTGCAACTTCTACTCCCAGATTGCTATAGAGAAGATTGCTGATGCTGTCTGATCTCTTTGCAAAATGCCCCCAGGGGAAAGAAGGCTGAAACCACTGCAAGAGAAATGAACCAGAGCCATTATGAGTTAGCCTGAGTTCCACCCACATCCCTTTGACTGGAGATTCCTGTTAGCTGGTTCAAAGTATTTATCTGCAGTCAAGATCTCAGCTGTCTAAATGCTTCTCTTGGTTGTTCAAGGTTTCATCGCCATCTCATGCGCAGCTCAGAAGATGGAGCTGAAAGGCACAGGGTGGTTCAGCAGCAAGCTGGTGTATGTGGGAGTAGGAGAGCTGGGAGATGTTTATCAGTGCTGTGTCTGCACTGGCAGTATTTACCACATTATCCTGCAGCACCGATGTCTTCAGCCATAGCATCCCAGGTAAAGTACTTGAGTGGAAGTCCAAATTCAGTTCACCCCAACACACCCAAGATTTCACACAATTCATACCATGTTGCAAAATGTAGACTGAAAAAATCGCCAGGAAAAAACCTGCAGCTTTCCTCCAATTTTTACACAAATATAGTCCTCATTAGCTTAAAAATACTATTTTTACCTCTTATCTTTTTTTTCCTTTGATTCAACTTGACAGCATGCAGTGTATCTAAGCACAGAAGATGGAGCATGGATACAGGTTTAGTTGAGCTGTAGCACTTCAGCTGCAGCGCATTTATTTACAAAACAACCAAAAAAAAATATGAAATCATTGATTCGAAGGAATCAATAATAAATATTTGCTTTCCTCTGAGTTGTTCAGACACAGTACAAGTACACCAATTATAGCAGGTAGAAGAGATGTAAGCTCAGTTTAGCTGCTTAGACATAAGAAAGCTACATAACATTGTATGCATTTAATCACACTAGTAATAACTGGTATATGACAGTAAATGCTTTAAACACACTATTCTACACAATCAAGTTTGGCTTATGATTCATTTGTTTCTCTTGTGCAACTCCTGATTTTGGAGCCCAGAAAATGTCCCTTTGGAAATGGGATACCTTTCAAATGAACTTTCCCCAGGGAAGAGGCTGTTGGGCACAGGCTGGGGGGAATTCTGCTTGCTGGCACCAAGCAGCCCCCAGGCTGCAATGGAGCACAGCACCCTTTGCTAATTGCAGGCCTGGCCTGTGACTCAAACTAACCTCCAGTATTAGGTACTTATGCTGTAACCAGCTCCACTGTTTGGACTGTTATCCTCATTCTGTGTTAATGAAGTACGGGTTGCTTGGGGTGTTTGCTTTGCTGAGAAATTCACTCCTGGTTTACTCTGCATAGAATAGGTGTCAAAGACAATCTGCTGAGGTGACATCGCAGTCAGCAAACTTAAAAGCCACAAACTTCACAAGTCCTGGAATGCCTTGGAAGCACGTAAGAGCAGTGCCTGTGCCTTCAGGGCCTACAAAAAAAGGAGCCACAGCCACTGAGCAGCTGCAACCTCCAACCAAGTCCACCAGAGCACAGCTGACCCAGGAGCGTGGCTCTGAAATGGTGCCTCGGCAAAATGACCCAGTATGCAGAACTGGTGAAAGTAAAAGCTTATCAAACAGCTGATTCCCTTCTATCAATTGGTGGCTCAAGGCCCCTCCCCACAACAAACAGTATTTTGGACTTCTGAGAGGGGGTTGTGCTGACTGCAGGAGAGAGAGCAAACAGCACATGTGATGGTGATTGCTTTAGGAAGAGAAGTTCTCAGCACGGGGCAAATTTGAAAACTATTTCTCATAGGGAAGTGGCCCAAACATGGCCTCATTTCAATCAGACCTTCTAAGATCTCAAATAAATGGAATGATGAGTCTCAGAAAAGAGTTTAGAACCTACAAGCTCAGTGTCTTCTGTGTAGCAGTGGTCGGAGTCAAGTCCTTCAGAGGAAAGTATAAACAGTTCTGGGGCTATCTGCCCCCACAGGAAGCCTGTCCCTATTTCCCATCATTTCTTATTGGCCTTCAGATGGAATAAGACTGTATCCCTTGAAAACGTCTATTCTGGCAAACAATCACAGAAAGTATTTTCATGATTCCTGCTTTTTTAAGAGTCCTGCTAAGGTTTAAGCCTTGAGGATAGCGCATGACCTACAGTTTGGTGTATGGCAGAACACCTTCCTTCCCTTAGCATTGCACTTACAGTTTACCTGTCCCTGGTGTATTTTCTTCACAACGTGTTCTTTCACTCCATCTTACCTGGATGTGTGAAGGTCAGTCCAGGAATGCTGTTCGTACACTTGAGGGTATGGCTCAGCCTAAACTGGTGAATTCACAACCTGGCTGTAGCAAAGACATCTTCAAATGTTCCTCCAGGCTTTTTGGCTGGTTAGCAGCCCTCAGTTTTTGAGACATGCTTTCATTTTGGCTTCAGCATTCAATTCTCATCTCACTAAGGCTCATGTGACACAGACACAACTCTGGTGAAGTTACTGCAGCTTTTCAGTGCTGTCCATACAAGCAGTCAGGCTCCTGGCCGTATTTCTCTGGATGTATCATTAATCTCATCCCAGCAATTGAAGTATCTCTGCTTCCTTGACATGTGGGCTCCTTTCCCTTTAGTACAGAAGTTAGTTCAGACACATACCTTTGTGCTGTATCTCTTGACCTTTCCTTTCTGCTTCAGTTGCAGCTTCCAGAAGTATTTCCCTAGAAGACTGAATGCAGAAAAGGCAAGCGTGCGTCAGTTCCCTTCAAGGTTGACCACAAGAGTACCCTCAGCAGACAAATGGCCTCAAGGTCTTCAGGTAAGACTATGCATTCTTCTAGAAACTTCTCCAGAAACAGTACAGGAGACTTTCCCCTTCCCCCTAAACCTCACTGGAATATTAGATGTCTTTCTGTTGATCCCTTTTAAAAAAATCCTGAGGTTTGGCTTCATTTCTCTTGTACAGCGCTTAGCTGACATTGTTTTTAGCTGTAGTTTTAAAATGCTCAGTGTTCCATTTTCTAAAAAGGTACTTTAAAAAGAAGGCTCCCTTTTCCCCTCAATTTTATCTTTCTTTAAAAAAAAAAAAAAAAAAAAATCCATCTCAGAACCTCAAGTGCTGGGAAAGAGTTGAGTGGGAGGGCTTCTTGTGGTGCAGATTGTCACAGGTGACTAAAATTAAGCTGACCAGGGAGGTAACTAGCTAATCTAACAACTCCTATGTGGCTGGTGGTACGTGGCGTGTTTCTGGATGGCAGAAGTCAGAGCAATCACACGGTCTGGAACGCTCGGCTCTGGGCAGGCACCATGACCAGCGTGGCTCCCATTTTCATCAGGTTGGCATAGTCGACTTTCTTTGGCTCTGTTTCCTTTCCTCCCACCTCCCTCTGGCTGTACTGTGGAGGAGTCAGATGGGGAGTAGCTTCAGTTGACAAAGTCCGCTGGCTGCGAGAGGCACTGTTGGCTGTCGACCTGGTTGAGGAGGAACCCGAGCGTGAGCTCCTGGAACCAGAGGATGAGGAGCTGGGCTTGACAAGATGGGCTTTGGGTGCCTCTGCATCTTCTCTGCAAACATACCACAAGAACAAAAACAATTACACATTCTACTACCCTGAATTGCTGCTGCAGTGGTTGCTTGCTGAAGTCGCCAAGCTACATTTGTCCAGAAGTTTGAGCAAGGCAGTGGGTTTCCCAAATTCTGTGCAAAGTAACTTTGTAGATTGAATTTGCTGTAGCTCTGCAGAGCTATTGGCCAAATGGGTTTAGAATACATGTGTGTACAACTGGCTCTTTGAGTGTGGATTTGAAGTCTGTGGAACAAATGCCCTGGATCAGTGCAAACAGTTCAGACAGAATTGTCTGCTCTATTATCTTTATTCATAATGACAGATTACCTATAGAGACTAGCAGAGACCTGTTCTGCTGGTTTAAAAAATGTGAGTAGTAAAAATAGCACAGTAACTGAGCCCAGAAAGAGAGGTGTGAAGAGATGACGGAAGAGGCTCAGATAAGAATGAAAAGGCGTGCAAGGTTTGAAAGCATAGAGAACAAGAAATGCAAGGGAAGCAATGAGCAGAGACTGCCTTCTTGCTGGCCATACCAGCAACCTGACCACCAGCAGAGTAATCAGCTGCTGAATGGATTATAAAGATGCCTGCTCAACCATATGTAGGTGTCATATGAGGGCAGGCAGAAGTAAGGTGGAACGAGGTGAGGGGGTTCTTTAGGGACAGGAGCAGCTAAATCTCATTCCTGGAAATATATATATATCTTTTTCCCATAACTTTGCTCCCTGAGCTCAATTGGCTGAAGACCAAGAGGAGTGAGTGGCAGAGCTCACATGAGTTCAAAGAACATGTGTCAGCATTCTTGGGACACCTGATCAGGGGTGAGGCTTCACAGCTCTGCAAACAGAGGTTTAAAGGGTTTCTCACCCTGAGCTAAGTCCAGCAGCACAGTTGCTCAGAAGACTCAGGAAAGACCATGAGAACCTCAGAGCATTCCCAACAGAGATCTTAACAGTTGTGAAACTTGTCAGTGACGTTTCAGGAAGACTGTAAAAGCTTTATAGAATGATCTTTTAAGAAACCAATGCTTGGGTTACTTAAACCTGGAGCGAAAAGAGACGTTAATTTGGAGCATGCTGGGTGTACAGGAGACTGAAAGACAGGAGGGGATTAAGGGAGAAGTGTTACCTGATTTCATTTGGGGCCTCCTCTTCCTCATACCTCTTCTTTTCTTTCCTTCTTATTGTCAGCCTCACCACCAGGAACAGGAGGCAGAGTCCCACCACGACGCCGCAAACCGCTCCAGCAATCATGCCAATGTTTTGGGCATCTGTTGTCCAAAAAATAAACAGATTAACAGGTAAGCTCTCAGTAGTGGCCAAATAGGCACGTTCTATTTCACACTAGAAATTACATCATTTATAAATCAGAATTTAGACTACTTAAGTGTCTGAACGCAGTTGAGCAGATTTATCTTAAATATTGTTTCTAAACATGAGACAATACTGAGAAAGGAATTCACTTATAGAAGGGTGGGATCACAGGAGCTATGCTTTCGGCTGTGAGTCAGATCTGAGATGGGGAGGAAGAATCCTTATGTAAGAGCCCAGAACCACAAAAAGCATAATAGAGGCAGACAGCACAACCCACGCTCAAGAAAAGTACCAAACAATTTTCTAAAGGCAAAAGAATGAACTACAGATATTTCCCCATGAGGTCTGAATCCTGAAATGTTCGCTGTTTGCTTACAGAATGAATTATTCAATTTTTGGGAAAAAAGTGGCTGGAGGAGGACAAAGAGAACGGGAGAAGGGAAAATTGTGCTGTGCCAATACAAGGCATTTGTCATTCAAAATAGGGAAGTTAATGAAACAACACTTCCCAGTGTGTCTGAGCCCTTGGCTGAACTTGCATGAAACTTTTTGATAAGAGTGGTGAGGTTGGGTTTGGCTGTGAGTTGTTTCCTTGGGGCTTGTCCCTGCGGAGGCTTTAGCAAATCAAAATGAGGTTTTAAACCAATTCAGTTCAATTGACATAAAAGCTGCCAGGACACTTCAGATGCCTGAGGGGAGCAGGTTTTCCTTGCTGCAAGACCATAACACAGCTACTTCAGGCCTGGCTTGGCAGATACATTCCAAAGCTATGGAATCTCCATAGAAGAGATCTTTGTCAGCAGTGTTTATTTCAACAGTTCAGGCTCCCTCTTATCTCCCCTGACATTTACACACAAAAGCCTTCCAAACTGCATTGTTTGTTTGGATTTGCTGTCAGTGCCTGTACTGAACTCCACCTGTTTCCTTGCACACATATGCAAAGACGTAACACCTAGATGCCTACACACCTTTGATGTGATTAATCACATACATACTGATTTCATTCCCTACTGTTTGGGCCAAATATATTGAATCTGGATTAAAACCAAACTGTACCCAAGGTTGCTTTTTCACTTTGCACATTACTTCCTGTTGGTAAGCCTTTCTGGGCTGCCTGGAAATAGCTTGCTGTCTCAAATGCAACAAGGAATTTGGAACTTCAGTGACGGAGTGTCCACAGAGATTTTATACTGAGCAACATTCTCATGCAGTCATAGAATCATAGAATCCTTCCAGCCTGAGCTAACTAGCAGCTGGATGCTTGGCAAGCCATCTCACCTGTTTGTTTGTTTTTTCCCTGTTACTCTGTTGGCCATTCTCAAAATCAGCATTTCTAACAGACCAAAACGTTTAAGCCCAAGCACTGTATTTACCACTCCAGGCTATATGGAATATTGCTGAGCAAGTGAGAAGTGTTCCATGTGACTGGAGTACAAAAGGGCAAGGGTGTGGATAAGGGTTCATCCAGTGAAGTGGGTCAGCTGAGGACCTACACTGCTCATACAGAGGTGAGAATACCAATTAGGTGCAATACTCACGCTGCACTGTCACCTGAACAACACAGGTCTCCTGTCCAGCCTCGTTGGTGGCCATGCATTGGTACAACCCTGTACTCATCTGAGTGAGGTTCTTCAGTAAGACTTGACCTGGATTAGAAATGTCTGAAACAGGAAAAACAACACTCAGATTAATCAAAAAAAGACTAAGAACGGAGGATGGAACAAAAAAAACAAGCGCTGAACTTGCAGATCAAAATCAGTTCGAGATCAGCGATAACTCAGGAAAGATCATCTGTCAACCTTTTGCAAAGCATGAGAACTTGTGCACTTCCTTGCTCAGGGTGGAGCACAATACAGCATCCTGCTGTAGCCAAGTTCTGGTAAAGCACTGCTCTCACTGCCAGCACGCTCTCCCTGGTTACAAGATGGACACACTGTGCCTGTGGGTGGTTATCTGGCTTTCAACACTTGGAGAGCTCTAAGAGGAAGTGACTTACTGACTCTCGACGTAGGTGGGAGATGTTCAGCTTTCTCATCTTCCTCATTTATGCGCTGCCACCGGTAGGAGATGGGCGCAGTGCCTGAGGAAGAACGGCACTGCAGGGACAGGTCTTTCCCTTCTGACAGCTCTCCTTCCAGCCAGCACTTGGGCTTGGAGGGTTTCTCTGTAGAAAACAGAGCACAGGTCATGCACACGCAACAGATCATTTTCTTGGTGGAAAACCCTTTTATAAAATTATTATTTACACTAGTGATGTTTGTTAGTGGACTTGAACTGCAACCTTGTGCAGCTTTGTAGTGTAAGAAGTAGAAAGAACACATTCTGTTTTGAGTCAGTCTGCTTCATGGCTACTTGTGCCAATGGAGCTGTATCAAAGCATTCTTCTAGGCACGATTTAGAGAATAACCTTTCCCTGAAATCCTTTCCCTCCCCCTGCTTCTCCATTTCTTCCTTCTCCCCACAGGATCTGGCAGGTCACAGCAGGACTTCCATGGGGTGATAGTGTAGGTGCTAAATGCCAAGCCATAAACTGGAATCAGGGAAGAGAAATGCTAACCCCAGTGGCTTATCCATCACCTTCACTGACTTGGATCAGTTTGGGCTCCAGGGACACAAACTCAGAGTCCCCAGCGAGAGTTCTGGACAGAGTGATGGTTGCTAGGATATCACTTTAGTTTACATGATGAGATCATAGGACAATTTAGAAAGGAGATGTTGCAAGTGGGTAAGCTTATCACGAAATAGTTCTCTGGACTCTTCCTGTGTTCTGTCCTTTGCCAAAAAATGCAAAGGCAGATACAGACTTATTGAAACCTGATCAAGAGATGTCTGTGTGTGTTTATACCCTAATGTAATAAATCTCTCTACAGGAAATATGCCTAGATATCTATTTATATGTCTTTGAAAGAACAATAAAAATGATCTTACCTACAACCTTCAGGGTGATGTGAGCCCATTCGTACTGCCCAGCGTTCTTCACCTTGCATATGTACTTCCCTGCATCACTGGACTGCAGGGAGATGATCTGCAGGGATGCATCTCCAGCACGGAAGTTGGAGGTGAATGAAACACGGCCCTTCTGTTCTTCATTCAGGTCATCGTAAACGTGGCCTCCAGAGTAGGTGATCACCTGAGGAGCAGAGATGGACAGCTGTAATTTTACTTCTGTATGGAACAACAAAACAAAGTCTTTCCAGAAGCTGCAGGCTAAGGTCCTGCATAGCTAAGTGCCTGGGGGTCACCCAGGAAGCCCAGAATAAGGTGGAAAATTAGACCTGGATTTCAAATCTGACTGATACATGAACTGTATTTGCACTAAAGGTTCATATTTGAGCATTTGTACCAGCATCAAAATAGACATCAGACGATGCCACAAGTAGCCACTGATTGTGGCTGGGTTCAACCAGAAGAGCAACGCAATCATTCCAGCTGATTCAAGTTACTGCAGATCTGATTTTATATGTACTCCATGACTATCTTTTTTCCCCCCAAGATTTCAAAGCCCATGCCTGTGAAATAGAATTTCTGAAAGCCTGAAGGGCACTTCTGAGGTTTATCTGGAGACAACTGATTAAATAGTACCACTGATTTAAAGAAAACACAGTTGCTACAAATTTAATTGATTTAAAGAAAGCACAGATCACTATCCCCCCATTCTAGGATAAATGAATATCAATTAACTTTCACACACTTTAAACACATCAGCTAGGCATTCTGCTTACTTCCTCAGTATAAATTGCAAAGGACTTCACAGACATCTCTTTAAACCGATGGCTGCTGTTGATGCCAACACAGCAGTAGGGCTGTTGGGCTGTTTTCCCAGCAGGTTGTGGATGAACCTACCGCTTTCTGCACCGATTCAGACGTGTGCAGCAGCCACTCAATGTCCAGGCTGCCTTGCTCCAGGAGGCCCAGGCGATGGTGACAAGGCAACGTCACGTTTTCTTCGGCCACTCTTTTAAATTCTGTCTGAGCCTCAGCCAGCCAGACAGAACAGGAAGCTGAAAGACAAATGCTGGTGGTCAGAGGCTGAGATCCATCTCTGCTCTCACAACTTTGATTTTGCTGCATTCTTCCTCGTTTGCTTCATGGCATCAAAGAAAACCCAACAGCTTGGCTTCCTGCACAGATTGCAGCTGATTCAAGGAGACGTTCATACATACACAAGTTCATTTCACACCAATATTGAAGCACGAAGAACAGATGGCTTTGCACTCCAGAGCTGTCGATGCTGAAGTCACACGATTGTTTTGCTCATCTATGCATCTACAGAGTTTCAGATTACCTCCTTGTTTTTGCCCTCACTTTTTATCCCCTTACTTCAGAAGTGGCATTTCAGTCAGGAATACTCTCCCAGCCCGTAGCTTTATTCCTATCTCAGCCTGATGATGCTTGGAGTCTCTTTCCTAACACTGGGAACGAGGTACCAGGCTGAGAACGAGTGCATCAGCCCAGAAATGGTCAAAAATAGCCTGAGAAGAAAAAGAAATTGCTAAGGAGAACCACTAGAGGGAAGCCGAGTCGTTCACACGTTGCTAAGTGTAACGGCCCAAGTGCAGCCAGAGCCCCGTATCCAGTGGCAGGAGGTGGCGCACCGGAACGATAAATCGGAACGATAGATAAATCGGAACCTTTTTCTGTTTCGCATTCCTGCTCAAACCAGACCGAAGCAAGGGCTGCTTCTTAGCTTTGCACGTCTCTCAGTTTTGATAAGCAGCGGGCTTTGGTAAGCTCAAACCCGATTCAAAGCGGCCCAAAGAGAAACTAGGAACAGAAAAAATTGCCGTGTTCAGGTCAGGGACCCTCAAATCTGCTGCAAAACATTTTCCAATTGACAATCCATGTGGATTTCTGTGGCGTGAATGCCATTGGTGTTCTGTGCCTGAGTGCATTTGGGTGTTACATTCTGCTGTGCAGGAAGAAAGCACCTAAATGTGCTTTTTCTCATGAAAAGAAGCGCATGAAATCTCCTGGTTCTTAGACCAATTAACATGAAACTCATTAAAACTGGCAGCAGTAGGATACTCCACATGTGTATTTGAATGCACAGTGCCATGATTACAGAGCGAGATTACTGGCAACAGCTGCAGTTACACAGGCTGCACTTGGATTCAAACAGTGGATTTTTAACCTTGCCTTTACTTTTAAGCACAAAAAGCAGCAAAAATGACATCCTAAGAGACACTGTGTTGGCTTTTTCTGTTTCCTCAGGACTAGCACTGGTCTAAAAATACTCCTCTCTCCTGCTCCCATCCTCAGATTTGCCTCTTGGTTGTCACATCCCAAGATCCTGATATTGAATCAATACTTGTTAAGTGCTTGTACCAAAGGCTTCTATACATGTGCACATGTACAAAAACGCCTAGAAAGAGAAGACGAGTCTTGCAAAGGATTAAACTCTCCTCCTCTACACACATCTCTGCATGAATTGATGGCTCTGAAAGCTCCTTTTCAGCCACATTAGTTGTTTTCTTTAAAGGGAAAATTAATCCAGTTTATCACTGGGTTCGCTGGGCTCAAAGCTCCATCTGCCAAATACAATTATACCTTCTGCTAAGGGAAATGCCTGCTTTCTCCTGCAGCCACACTGCTGCTGGCTGCCTTCATTAACATGCTGACACTCACTAGATGACCGATCAATAAGTTTAATTAAAGTGCCACAATTCACATAACATTTGCAGCAGCTTCAAAGGCTGTGCCAGCAGGGCTCTGAAGCTTTGTGTTTGTCTCACAAGGTATTCTGGATTTTAAAATGTGGTTTTACATTTGATGCCTAGGTCAAGATCATATATTGCATTTTAATGGAGTGTAATAGCAATAAGCAAACTGGCTTGAACAGGCTGCTTTTAGGAGAGCTCACATCTCATTCTGTTCTTGTTGCCCCCAGCTAATGTGCTGTGAGATTCAAACTGAGCCCCAGCAAGAAGTGCCCACCAGGCACAGGGCTCGCCTGCTTTTCCATGACATAGTTGACATTCCTATTTAAAAAACTTGTCCCTTTAGTCCTTATGGTTTTCTAAGCCCACAAACTCTACAAGAAATCCAAGTTCTCCTATACCTGTGCAAAGTCAAAAGGAAGCTTGAAACACAGCTTGCTGGAAGTACTCAATACAAGGTACCAGTTGTGGATATGCCCAGCACAACATCTGAAAAGGACTGGAAGTGAACAGACCTTCACAGCATTTAGAGTGGGGTATCACTGCAGCTGAAATGAGAGCAGCCCCTCTCATAGCTCTGGGGCCACACGAGGGCAGAGCACACCCAGAGCTTCCCTGCACTCAGACCACGGATGCAGCACAGACAACGGATGGTTTTCCCAAAAGTCAGACCCACTCTCTTGCTCAATAAGGCGATATGTATGCAGGCTCCACAGATCTCACCCCAAAAAACCTCTTCCACATCCTGTGTAGGACTCTGTGCCACGAACAGGAATTCAGGAATTGCTTCAGCTTTACTCAGGCCTTACTCAGACACACTGCATGACACCAGGGGGAGGTCAGTTTGTTTTTGCAGAGCAGCATCACCACAAAGCACTGGCTCGTGGGTCTCAAAGAGCCTGGCTGCAGTGGCAGTCTGCTGGCACACTGCAATCCCCTGTATCATCAGCATGCTTCAGCAGTGCACCATTGTTCAGAAGACAATGGCTCACTCACCCAGCAGCCTCCAGAGCAACAAGCATTGTTAGCAATGCCAAAGCAAGCATACATAAAGGAAAAATGAATATAAATTTCATTCAAGGCCAGGCTGGATGTGGCTCCGGGCAGCCTGGTCTGCTGGTTGGTGACCCTGCACATAACAGGGGGTTGAAACTAGTGGTCCTTTTCAACCCAGGCCATTCTTTGATTCTGTGATAAAGGTGGGCCAGCTCTAGTGCAATGCAAATACCAAGCTCGATGGAACCGGGGGCTGGCAGACCTCACCAAATTGTGATCACACAAAGATGTGCTTTTGTGCTGAATACAGTCATGCACACTGTCATGAAACCAGACTTATTTTCATGGCCATCCATTAACAAGTATATGCATAAAGCTACAAAAATGCACATGCATCTGATAATATCAAATATATATAGATGTCAGGCACAGAAACAGACACGCAGGGTCAGATGGAAAATACGTGTTTTGCTGAAATTATTTGTAGGCGAATTCATGTGCTAAAAGCTAAAAAGCTTCCAGAGTTAAATCTTTCATTAGCTTCAGAAGGCAGATGAATTAGGGAGCAATGCTCAATATAGGTGTTACTTTCAAAAGTAGAAGTCCATGCTTTATCACCTAACTGCTACACTTAAAAAGAAGCGCCCATAAAAGCTTCAGAGAACTGTGGTACAAGAAATTCACAGTGACATTTTGCAAACCCGGCCCCAACCACACCTACACTGAGATCACTCAGTGTTAAAAATGGATCCTTGCTGCTGGGACTTCTCTGATGAAGCACGTTTTTCAGCTAAACTTAACACTTCTTTTTTGTTTTGTTTTGTTTTTTAGCTTTTTTTTGGCTTTTTTTAATCAAATAAGACAAACTTGAATTGGTGACTGTAACTTTTCCAAAGAAACTCTGAAGCTGCAGGAATCCTTGGTCTGCTTCTAGCACATGATGTCTTGAGTCAGAGGAAAATTATAGGTTGTGTTTCTACTCCCATGCCTTAGGCTCAAGTTGGTGAGGTGAGATGTAAACACTCGCTTAAGTTAAGCCAGGTTTTAAAAGGGCTTTACTAAATGCAAACCTTAAAAGTAAAAACACTTTGCTGTGGGTCATCCCAGGGCAGTCACCTAACCTGACCTTGTTTTGGAGACATCAGTCCTGAAGGCTGTCATGCAAGGACTTTGTAGTACTGCCTGGGCAACTTCTAGTCCACCTGCAATAGGTGCTTCATCTGCTTTTGTCCATTAGCATCACAATGTTTCCTGGAAGAAGATGCAGCAGGAGCAGTGAATGGCCACCGTTGCCCCAGCACAGTGCATACTCCTAAAGGAAGAACTATTTGCTAAAGACACATAGTTTCAAACATAGGCAATGCTTTTATAGTCCTTGAGTCCTCCTTGGGATCCTCTAAAAAGAATTATTTACACACCTTGGTCTGATCCCACTACCCCAAAATGTGGTCTTTCTATAAAGGAAGTTTTGAGTAACACACTGTTTTCAAAGCCTGGATTTCTGCTTACACAGCATAAGTTATCCCACCCCTGCAGAGTGCAAGTGCCTGCAGAATTATCCAGGCAGAAAGCATTTCTCTAGCTGAATGATCCTGCGCATACATCCTAAACACATGTGTCTTACATGTCGTATTGAGGATGTGGTTTAGTGGGGAAGTACTGGTGGTAGGTGGATGGTTGGACTGGATGATCTTGGAGGTCTTTCCCAACCGTGGTGATTGTATGATCCCACTCACAAATCTGTCTAGATACATACAAGAACAACGTCTGGGAGTTAAAGCACAGCTCGGTCTGCAGTGTTGCAACTTTGAACCACTCCTTCATGCCAGGAATTTAAGACTTCCCATCTGTTAGAGTTCCATCTCGCTGCTGCCTTGTAGGAACAGATTTACTAAGCTGCTCCATGGAAAAGCCAGAGCCAGCTCTCGCTCCATCCACTGCTTGTGAGAGCACTAGGGAATGCAACTGGAGCATTTTGCAACGGACAGGTTTTGAGTTTTACATGCTTAAATAGGATGCTGGCTGCTTTTCTGACCATGGAATTGTATCTGGAGTAAAAAATCTCACACCTGAGTGATTTCAAAGCTCCAATCATTTAATTATCAATGACACTACAGACACTAATTCTACAGTTTTTCTCCACTGAGAAACCGATCATTTTTTCCCCCTCAATAATTAATGATAGGACAGACCTGCACATCAAGTCCTGTATCTCACCTCCCTTCCAAGCCTCCTGGAGTTTCTGCTGCAGATAATTGAGCCAGTAAATAGCCACACTGGGTTGTGCCTGAGCTATAAGGAGAACCCACAAGGTTGACACCCTGTGTCCACCATTGCCATACGCTAGC